TGTGTCTTAATCAGGGTTCTATTCCTGCACAAACATCATGACCGAGAAGGAAGTTATGGAGGAAAGGGTTTGTTCAGTTACATGTTCTCCTTGCTGTTCATCACCAAAGGAATTCAGGACTGAAACTCAAGCAGGTCAGGAAGCAGGAGCTGATGCAGAAGCCATGGAGAGATGTTATTTACTGGCTTGCTTTCCCTGGCTTGCTCAGCTTGCTCTCTTATAGAGCCCAGGAATACCAGCCTAGGGATAGTACCACACACAAGGGGCCCTCCCCCCTTGATCACTAATTGAGAAAATGCCTTACAGCTGGATCTCATGGAAGCATTTTCTTAACTGAAGCTCCTTTCTCTGTGATAACTCCAGGTTGTGTCAAGTTGACACAAAACCAGCCAGTACAACTTGTCCTGATTTTCTGAGTTTACTATATGAACATTAATTAATACAGTGTCTCTCTGTTTCCTCTTCACTCCTTGGTTCTCTGTCCTTCTGAGCACAAATTTGTAGGCACTGTGCTGGGTTCTAGGACCTTAAAGATATATGGGAGAGAAAAACCTTTACTGAAAAGCTGTGCTACTGTTTCTCTTTTGCAGGAGGTTCTGATATTCCAGGAACCTGCCCAATGTTCACAGGTAACCTGTTTCCTCATAGGACAAGGAGACAGGGAAAACCAAAGGTTCTATGAAAAGACAGTAACCAGAAGCCTAAGACTACTTACTCATACACAAGAAGTGAAGTGAAGAGGGATAATAGTCTGATGGAGGAGATTGAGAATGGCAGAGCAGAGCTATCTTAAAGCTTTTATAAAATTTGTTCTGCCCAAGTATATGTATGTATAGCATACATATCCCTGTTGCTTCTAGAAGGTCTGTACCTAAAGTTATTTACCAATGGTTGTGAACCACCATGTAGGGTGCTGGAAATGGGATCCAGGTTCTTGTATTCTGTTGGTGGTGCTTGTTTCTGTTGTTCCTGTTCTCTTCTCTAGGTTCTCCATCTCCAGGATTGCCTCAGTTTGTGTTTTCTTTATTGCTTCTATTTCTATTTTCAGTTCTTGGAGAGTTTTGTTCATTTCCTTCACCTGTTTGATTGTATTTTCCTGTATTTTTAAAGAAATGTGTTGATTTCCTCTTTAAAGATCTCTATCATCTTTATAAGAATGGATTTTAGAACATCTTCTTGTGCTTTGGCCGTGTTAGGATATCCAGGGCTTGCTGATACAGGATAGCTGGGCTCTGGTGGTGCCACATTGCCCTGGCCCTTGTTGATTTGTGTTCTTAAGTTGTCCTTTAGCTGTCTGTTTTTTTCTAGTGTTGTCTGGATGATTCTGATGTCAGCAGGACTCCTCAAGAAGGCAGGGAGAGCTGTCTGCTGGTTATGTCCCAGGAATACCAGACTGGGAAGGGATTTGTGGGGAAGGGTTTCAAGCTAGTTGTTCTTGAGGCCTCTGAAGGTCTCCATTGGAAAGAAGGAGATCACACAAGGCTCCTCTGGATGGCAGAGCAAGCCAAGAGTCAGACAATGAATATCAGGGTACCTCATACCCAACCTGTGGAACCCAGGTTCTTCTGAAGAGCAGCAAGTACACTTAACTTCTGAATGGTCTCTCCATTCCCAAGCTGAGTCATCCTGAGAAATATCAATAACAGAATTTCTGGATCCCATACAGCATGACAGGTAACAAGAGAAGCTCTCCTCTCAGGAGGTACAAAGGTTACATAGCTTTTTTTTTTCCAGTCTAGAAATTGAATCATATAGGAAGTTTGCCAGGAAGTAGAATTTCTTTTCAAGGCTTTCTTGGATGGCCATAGTCTTCTATCTATGATGATTCCTATTCAGTCCTACATTTTTGTGGCTTTGAAGTGATAACTTCTTGGGCATTTTGATGATGTCTTCATTGATAAAAGAGAGTGGATTTGTCTCCCTGCCTTTGCTCAACTTGTTTCAAATTTGATTTGTGCACAGTCCTCTGGAGTCACCAAAATAAGTAAGAGAGACACAAGACTGTTCTAAGCACGTCAAAGAACTTTGCATCTGTGTTCATCCACTAGGAGGTGGCCTAGATACTTGAAACCATGTGATTTGATTTTGTTTTCTTTTGCTAGGACTCTGTTGATAGAATGATGGTAGAATGAAAAATCTGGCTTATGCACTCAGACCTAGATTAAATCAGGACCCGGCTATTCACTACCTATGCTTGTTGCGGGATCTTTCCTGCCTATTGTTTTTGCAGTGGAGCTTTGTGATTGGGCAGTAGAAGAAATAGGGGGAGCTAGGAGTTGGGAGGAGGAAGTAAGGAGAAAGGAAGAAGGGGAAGAAAAGAGAGAGGAGAAGCAAGATGGAGGCAGACGTACTGTCTCTAGGAATCTCAGGTAGTTATTCATGTCAAAAGGTTAGATATTGGGTTAACAATTCTAATTGTGTGGGCATCTTGTGTATTGAGCATTTGATAATATATAAATCCATTGGATAATCTTACGAATTAAGAGTCTTATTTCTACCGGGTACTGGAATTGTACCTACCACATGGGGGTGACAGATATTTCCTGGGCTTTGGGACTGGTCGTCACAGAGCTGATCAGCAGAAGCAACAGGCGCACTGACATCTCGTGGATCCCAGCAGCACTCTTGGCCAGCCGGAATTGTCATTAGAGCGGGAACAAGGCGGCCAGGAACTAGCCCAGCTGCTGCTTTTTCTAATACCTACTGCTCCAGGAAAATGGCTCATTGAGCCATGATTTTTCTCATGTACAAATGGAGGAAATGCCAATTTGATCTCATGGACTTGCTGGGATAGAGCGTGTCAGTGGGTAGGAAGTACTTAGCATGGAGTCTGGTGTTTACTAAGTGCCCAGTGCCCACTGGCTTTACCATTAATGATCTCTACACTGCACATAGGGATGTCCAGGATGTCTGGTGTCCATCTGAGGCTCTAAAAAAACTGTTGAAAATAAATTTTTGTTTCATAAACAATATTTGTTCATTTGGATTTATCAAAACATGGAGGCAAATAGATGTCATGATTGCTTTGTGGTAGTGAAGTACAGGTTAAGAATGGCTTCCTGTGCAGAGAACATAGATCACAATCTCTGAGCATGGCCTCCAGAGGGGAGCTTTTGTTTTTTGCTGCAGACAGGTTTGATTTAGCTGTTAACGTTTAAGAACCAAGAGATTTTCACATAAAAATGAATGTCTCCTCCTGGACTTATATCTGGCCTGCTTTACTGTTTTATATGTCTACCTATGATGTTCCCCCAATGGTATCCATATCATGATTCCTAGGACCTATGAATATACTTGGTAACAAAGCAGACAGCTATCAGTTGTTCGTGGGATAGCTATAAATAAGCTATAAATAAGGAGATGACTCTGGGTTATCCAAGTGTGTCCTATATAATTTCTCCTAAGGTTCTCACAAGTAGAGGAGGGAGAAAAATAAGGGAAATAATGGTTTAAAAGAAATTACTTGAGTGAGGCTTTGAAGATGAAGAAAGGAGCCATGTGTCAAAGAGTATGTGGGAAAGACAAGCATTCCTGGTTATACTTTGATTTCTGCTCAATGAGACCTATCTGTAGTAATCTACAGGGCTAGAAGATAATGCAATTGAATTATTTATAACTTGATGGTAACTTTTTACAGTGGCAGTAATAAGCCTGGCTAAGTCGCATAAGCTCCCCTTGGCTTCTTAATAGAGCATACCAATTAACAAGTGTTGCTTCCTAAGTATGGTGCCATTTATGAAGGGCTTTAGCCACCTACAGGAGTTACATTTGTGGTAAAAATTTTAAGTGACAATAATTACTGTGGAGTTCTTACAATCTGTGCAGTTAGCATGAGGTTGTCACATGGCTAGAGTGGCTCAGTATTTCCCCCACATCCCAAATGCCTGGATACATGGGCCTTCTACATCAGAGGAGGTAATCCTTTATTTGTCTGTGTAAAAATCACACAGGAACCCTTGGGAGGATCTAGAATCAAGAATATGCTAAATGAAATAAGTCAGTTACAATTGACCCAGCCCTTGTTTTACTTATAGAAAGTACCTAGAGTAGGCAAAACTCAGACACAAACTAGAATATTAGTTGACAGAAAGGGAGGAGGGGGAGGGAAGAATGGGAAGTTATATGCAATGGGCAATGAGTTTCAGTTTGGAACATGAAAGGATGTTGAGATAGATGGTAGTGATAGTTGCACACCAATGTGAACTGAGTGTGTTTGGCACCATCAGTGTGCACTGAGTATGTTTAGCACTGGCAGACTCTTCATTTTAAAATGGTTAAAATAGCATATTTTTGTCTTAAGCATATTTTTTACCAAGTTAAATACTAAAAAGCAAAATGGTGGTCACAGTTCTTTTTCTTTTAGAGTTGATAATGAGATGCAGATGTCAGGCCACCAAGGACCTTTTCTTTAATCTCTTGCTTCCTGCATACAGAATAAGGGTGAATCTCTGAAGCTCACCCTGGTGGATGAACAGAAAGTATAACCCCTGTACAGAGGTGTGGCTGGATGTGCACACTACTCCCTTATCAAAGTGTCCAATCAGATGGACTGTCTGCTCTCTCTCCTGGACTAGGCAGTGAGGGAAGTGGACAGAAGTAGACCGATACCTCCTGTGATGTCCATATTGTGCAGATGCAGTGGAAACTCAATCCCTGCCATAGAGACGGGAGGAGTGGAGAACACAGCTGCCCACCTTTTCTATCTCTTAAACTGTGAGCTTGGTCTCTGCAAAGAGATCCTGTAGGACAATGGCTCTCAACCTTTGGGTCATGACCTCCCCCCTTTTGGGAGTCAAATGATCTTTACACAGGTATTGCCTAAGACCATAGGAAAATATAGACATTTACATTATGACTCATAACAGTAGCAAAATCACAATTATGAAGTGTCAACAAAAATAATTTTATGGTTGGTAGTCACCAAAGCTGGAGGAACTGTATTAAAAGGTTATAGCAGTAGAAAGGTTGATAACTGCTACTTTAGAAAAATATCGGGAGGGCTGACTGAGCTGGGGGAACTTTGCCTGGATGGCACTTTCCTGTTCTACAGTCTGTCCCTGCTGGAGGGGCTCGGCTCTGAGATCCAAGATGGAGTTGTTGAGTCGAGCTGAGCAAGAGATGAGTCTGGCGGCCTTGAAACAACACGACCCCTATATCACCAGCATCGCAGACCTCACGGGCCAGGTCGCCCTGTACACTTTCTGCCCCAAAGCCAACCAGTGGGAGAAGACAGATATAGAAGGCACATTATTTGTATACCGAAGGTCAGCTTCACCTTACCATGGCTTTACCATCGTCAACCGACTGAACATGCATAATCTGGTTGAACCAGTGAATAAAGATTTGGAATTTCAGCTCCATGAACCATTTCTTCTGTATAGAAATGCAAGTTTGTCAATATACAGTATCTGGTTTTATGACAAGAATGACTGTCACCGCATAGCAAAACTCATGGCTGATGTGGTAGAAGAGGAGACACGGCTCTCCCAGCAGGCTGCTCGAGATAAACAAAGTCCCAGCCAGGCCAATGGCTGCAGCGACCAGCGGCCCATAGATATCCTGGAGATGCTGAGCAGAGCCAAGGATGAGTATGAGAGGAATCAGATGGGCGGCTCAAATATCTCCAGTCCTGGGCTACAGCCAAGCACTCAGCTCTCCAATCTGGGAAGCACCGAGACTCTAGAAGAGACACCCTCTGGGTCACAAGATAAGTCTGCTCCATCTGGTCACAAACATCTGACAGTAGAAGAGTTATTTGGAACCTCCTTGCCAAAGGAGCAACCAACAGCTCTAGGTCTAGAGCCAGAAGACACAGACAAGCTGCTGGGAGATGCACCACAGAAAGAGCCCAGCTCATTCCTCCCATTCCCCTTTGAGCAGTCAGGGGATGCCCCTCAGTCTGAAAACCTGGGTGTCCATTCTGCCGCTCACCACACAGTCCAGCCTGAAGTCAGTGCTCCGGTGCTGATTACTCCCGCCTCCATTGCACAGTCGGGTGACAAGCATCCCCCAGGCTATACGCTCCCACTGAGCCCTGTCCTCAGCCCCACTCTGCCAGCCGAAGCTACTATCACACAAGTTCCCCACTTACCTCGGAATAGCACCATGATGCAAGCAGTAAAGACCGCACCTAGGCAGAAATCTCCACTCCTGAACCAGCCAGTCCCTGAGCTAAGCCACAGCAGTCTGGTTGCTAGTCAGAGCCCCTTCAGGACCCCGGTGAGCCTGGCAAATCCAGCTGGCACAGCCCTCCCAAGCGTTGATCTGCTCCAGAAACTCAGGTTGACCCCACAGCATGACCAAATACAGGCACAGCCGCTTGGAAAAGGTGTGATGGCACCCAACTTTTCTTCAGCAGCTGGCCAACTGGCCACCCCTGAGAGCTTCATAGAGCCTTCCTGTAAGACAGCAGCAGTAAGAGCAGCAGTCTCAGCCTCCCTGAGCAACATGGTGCTTGCTCCAACCCTCCAGTCTATGCAGCAAAACCAGGATCCTGAAGTATCTGCCCAGCCTAAGGTGTTACCCAGTGCCATCCCGATTGCAGGCCCTCCATTGGTTACTGCAACAACCACAGCAGTATCCTCGGTCCTGCTGTCCCCCAGTGTGTTCCAGCAAACAGTTCCCAGGTCCACAGACCTAGAGAGGAAAGCCAGCTCCTCCTCTCCCCTCACTGTTGGAACACCAGAAAATCAGAGAAAGCCTTCCATTATTCTCAGCAAGTCTCAGCTCCAGGACACACTGATACATCTAATAAAGAATGACTCCGGCTTCCTCAGTACACTTCATGAAGTTTACCTGCAGGTTCTGACCAAGAACAAAGACAACCACAACCTATGACTGCAGTGAAGGCAGTGTGAAGGGAGAGGGTCCACCTCAAAACAAGCAGGCTTCCTCACGGGACATCTAGGTAGAACATGGATCTCTGAGGAGCCTGCGAGAGCCTTGTCATTGAGGCTGTTTTGTAGAGACGTTCTCAGTGATGATGGAGGTTTCACTGTGAAGCATCACCAGCAGACCTTTGTTTGACAAAACAACAAGAGACCATTGTGTTGAGTTATGTGGGAGTTTTCATCAGCTATAAGCCAGTGTGTGGAATGAGTTGCCTGATTGTCAGCTTGCTTTCCAGGCCTGGGGAGGAGCCACCAGCCTTGCAGCAGAGCTCAGTGGAGCCCTCATCCTCCCTCCTCTACCCCTAGAAGCTCTGAACTTAATGTCAGCTCACAGAGTAGCTTCAGGTTGTAAGGATCAGAATTTAAGTTGACTCTTTGGAAGGTATTGTTCAAGTGAAGTATATTTTCTATGAGCACCCCGCTTGGGCCTTAAGACTTCTGGGATGTCTTTGTGTTCCGGTAAGTGTCCCTGGTCCTGCCCTGTGCAAACTCCAGTGAAGCACTGCTCTTTGGGTAGGGCCCGCTGGGCCCTGGTGGAAGAGACTTCACGCCGATGCAGAGGCCGGGCCGCACAGATCCAGATCCTACCAGAAGGCTCCGCTTTAGTGAACTCGGCAGTTCAAGTGTCAAGTTTCTGTGTGAAGCGCAGCCTTATTTTCCTTTTCTGTCTAAACACAGTTCAAGTTATTGTTGATTGTTTTCCTTAACACTTTGGCAAAAGGACCAGTGGACCAATCTGACAAAGCCATTCTGGTTCCATTCCTCAGATGTGCTGAGGGCATTTAAAGCTATGCAGAGAATGGAGCTGTCCTCACACTGCCCTTCCCTTGTTGTAGAATATGGAGTCAAAAGCAAGTGTGAGACACAGAACCTCACAGTATATTCCTAGGCTGCGGGCTCTCCCAGCCGCAGTGCAGAACTGTAAAGATGCTTTGTGATGCTGCTATTGATCTGCCATGGTTTCTATTTATTCTTTTCTGGCATGTAATGGTGTTTGGTAATATTTTAATGTAGAATTTGATTATTTCAGCAATAGTAATTTTGAGATATTCTTTGAAAAAAAAAAGAAAAATATCACAGACAACTCAAATATATAACCTCTAACAGAGGTAAGTCTCTCTATGAGATGATACTCTGGATTTCTGTTTACTTTTGGTATTCTTTTGGAGACAAGATCTTATGTAGCCTAAGTTGGCCTTGAACTTGCTATATAGCTGAGGAAGACCTTGAACTTCTGATCCTCTTCCTTCTACCTGCTTCCATGTGCTGGTATTATAGGTATACATGATCATGTATGGTTTATGTGGTACTTGGGTTGAATCCAGAGCCTTGTAGATGTGAGACAAGCAGTCTACCAATTCAATTACATCCTAACCTCCCCTTTAATCTTAATTTTGAATAAATTGTGATACTGTGATACAGATACCACCTCTGAATAAATAGAGCTTGCATCTGTTTCACAGTTCACTGTTGATTCACTTATGCTGGTCCATGGTCTCTTGTCACATGCATGTGTAATGTCAGTGAATACATCAAGAGGAACAGACGCTAAGGTGTAGAGGAAAGTCTATCTACCAGGCTTCTTTTCTCCCATGCTCCCTCATTGTCTTTCCTCTCTGGGTTCCTGACTCTCTTGACTTGGATTTTGTTTTTGAGATAGTATCTCATTATGTAGCCCAAGCTAACTCTAAACTTGTGGCAAACCTCCTGCCACAGCTTCCCGAGTTCTTGGATTGCTATAGTTCTAGACTCAGAAGGCTGAAGAATGTCAGTACTACAGAACGTCTCAAAGCAAAGGCTTTCCTTAACAGAGATAATTCCAAACTTCGCTTACTTTATGAGATTTTGGCTTAATGATGGTGTACAAATAGTACATATTCAGTATAAATCATGCTTCCACTCTGGAGTTTGAGCCTTTTCCCAGGTTGCTTGTGGTATGGCACTCATGGTATTAGGCAGCACCAGTGACAGCTTCCCTCATGTTTGTGATCACCAAGGGAAACAAACAGCAGCCAACAGTGTTTTGGTGATACAATCTTGAACAAGTTACACGGTATCTCACACCTTCATATAAGATGAAATTACATTAGATGACTTTGTCCAACTATATAAGACAATCTAAGTTCTCTGGTCATATGCAAGGCAGGCCAGGCACTGTGGTATTTGGCAGTATTAAGTGCTTTTTGATTTGTATTTTCAGCTTATGATGGGGTCACTGGGACATAACCACATTGTAAGTAGGGGAACAGCTCTGTTTTTATTTCTTCACTGCTAAGATTTAAGGCTTGGGGGGATTAAAGCTCTCCAAACATAGGATCTCCTATGTTAGTGCTTTGATTGATATCAGATCCACGAGTTGAAAATTCCCTTAAATGTATAGCTAATCTTGCTACTAAAAGGCACGTTGGGTAATTTGTCTATGGATTTTGAAAGCATGTGGCTTTAAAATTCTTCCTTTTCCTTTGGCATTTGCACCATAAACTGGGCTTTCTTCTGACACTTCCTATTCCTTCCTTCAGGGTGACAAATTTGAAATGTACTTTTCTGGACACACTCTGTGACTGCGTGATCTCCAGTGAGGTCCTCAGGCAGGGCGAATGAAAAGGCTGGCTTAGTGACTAAAATGTGCTTGAGCACTGGCTTCCAGAGGCTTGTCACAGAAGCTCTGCTTCAAATCCGTCTTAACAGAGAGGAAACTGAGAGAAATCTCTCACCCAACGACCCTTCAAAGCAGAGAGTTCCACAGCCCCAGCCAAACAGCTATCTTCTTTCTTCCTTCCTGAGGCGGGTAATGCAACGGGCAGAAATGAAGAGACAGAAGGTTGTGGCATAGAGTAAAACCCAAACAAACATGAAAAAAAAACCAAACAAATAAAAGTCTGGCAATCATTATGCTTATTCAGACTGAACTGACCTGAGATCTCTGGGTAGAAGAAGGGGATTCAGATGAGAAAAGATGTTGTCGAGATGAGATTTGGAAAGCGAATTCAAAAGCTGGGCTTGACAGCAGATTCATGCATATTGTCTGCTTCTCAGCAATTTAATTACTGTCGATCTCTGCCTTGAGCTATGGCCCCTGGTTTCTGGGAACCAGCTTAGACTGTTTCCAACTTGGTGACATTTATTACCACATGCTTCATACCCCAAATTCTTCAATCCCTCTGTCCCCACGAGATCTTATGTTTAAGAAACACCTCTAGTCTTGTTTCTAGTTGTTAGTACATCAGAGGACATGTTTTTAACAGTATCATACTGAGGGAAATTTCTGTGTCTTAGCCAGATGAGAAATTGCTGACTGGTTTGGATCGCAGCAAACATTTGGACTGAACCAAAACAGGAGCCCCAGTACGTCAATAGGACTGTGTGGTGACCCTGGGAGACATGCTTTGGGTTCACAAATGCATCATTCTGGGGATGCATTGCTGAAAAAGACCCCTGACTTTCTCTCATCCAGAATTGGTTGCTGCTTGGTTCTCAGGCATGATTTTCAAATCCTGAATTGAAGAAGGTCTATAAAGTGGGACTCTACAGATGAGTAATAGCTGGTGAGTTTTCAGCTTTCATAGGTAGAACGAAGTGATGGATAGATATAGAAAGCTGGCCTTCATCCTTTCCCATCATCCCTACTGACCTTATTTTCATCCAGTCATCATCAGTACCCTACTACCACCACTGCCACCATCATCATTAGAAACATCATTTCTAGCATCTATCAAAAAAAATGTGTCTTCCCAGGCATGGTAGAGGTATAAGCTCATAAAATTCTTATGAAAACACCATAAATAAATTATTATTACACAGACATGGCAGTGTGCATGTGTGACTCAGAGAGGTTAAGCATCTTAGGGCTGGTTATAAAGTGAGTGATGGGCCCTGAGACTTGAACATAGAGCTGTTTGATTTCAAAGTTTCTGTCCTTCATCCTGTCCCATACTGAGCAATACAGGTAACTTTTTTTCTCCTTCCAAAAGAGAGGTTTTGATGTGCTTACAATCAGTGAGAATCATTAAGCCATGTCAGATAAAACACATTCCTCAAGCTTAATGCTAAAATGAAACAGTCGACTCCCTTCCCTAAGCTCCTTCGAGGTGTCAACTGCTCAGCAATCAGGGCACACTTCATTCCTGCCTGGAATACAAATGGTTTTGAACCCAACTTCACTACATAGACTTTTGTACTTGGGCCTTTGCACACTTGTAACAAACTTCTTCAAATGACATATTTGTACTGAGTATTCCTTCATGGAATAATTCCGTGCATAGCACAAAAATGACATTTTATCAATCTTCTTTGCTTTCAAAACAGAGGGGTTGGGAATATTTTAAATTCCAAAGACCACATAAGAATCCATGACCAAGGAAATTAAAAAGAAGCAACAGACAAATCAAGTCCTCCAAATGTTGTTGGTAATTTTCCATCTGCTGGATCAGTGACTAGAAGCCGGAGGCTGGAGATGCCTGGGTCCCTGCTGGAAACAAAAAGGATTCTGGAGCAATACAGGCAACTTGAGGGAATAAAATGTAACATTTGTGCCTCATACAATTTTTATGAATTATTTCCCATGAACCCCATCATTGTATCTTGACATGTGACAGTGTGGTGTCATTGGCTTTATAAAAGAAACAATGACTCAAGGGGTGAGGAAAAAGGCATTTCGGAGAGAGTGAAGATTTGGTTAGGAAAATGTTTGGGAGAAACATATAACCTAAAGTTTGCTGTGGCTTTAGTTTTTTTTAATATTGCATATTAAAATATGAAAAATTGCATATGAAAATAGGAAGCTTAAAAAGCACGGAGTCTTAAAGGTAAGAATCATCTTCTTAGTGAGGAGACAATGACTAAAACTGAATGTTAGCTAGTGAGAGTCTGCTGGTCCTAATGAAGTCTGAAATACATTTTCTTTGTTGGAGAACTCTTAGATTTTCCTACTTAGGGGGAGCTAGGAATTTCATCAGTGCAGAAAATAAAACTCAAGCACATATTTGAACCTCAGGGGGACTCTATTTCCAAACCTTTTGCTTCTCCTGGTCACTTCACAGTGGAAATAAAGATGTTCTCAGAATCATGGCTCTACAGTCACTATCACCTGCCATCTAAGACTTACCTCTTCATGACTATCTTGTGTCCCTGAACATCCCCTCCCCAAATTTCCTAAGACCTTTTCCTAATTCAGCCCAATATTGGTTTATTCCCAAGTTATTTATTTTCCTATAGCTTAAAAAATATTATAGTATTGAAGACTGGGGTGGGAGATCATCACCAAGGCAACTGAATTTGTTCTCTGTGCTTCCTTTTGCTATCAACTTGACATTTTGCTCAAATTGCTCGACTATTTGTAGAGCATTGCATCTATGAAGTATAAATGTTTTAACTCTGTAAGTGATCCAGAATGTTACAGAACTTCCAGCGTCCTGGGGTTGATTGGTCCCTGGTATTTGAAGGTCAAAATGCTGTAAAAAGTCAGATACAAGAAAAAAATATGGTTTCCTTGAAGCCCATGCTCTTGTGCTTAGGTGTCCTGCACCATCCACACTGACAATAACCACTGTCTTAACGGCATGAGCATTTGAATTTTGATATGAAATTTGTCCTTCATATGATTACTCCCTTAGTGTTTCAGAAACTTTACATTGCCTACTCATTCCTTTTAGACACTTATGGTTGATTAAGGTCATGGGATGATATTCACTCATGCTTCTTACCCAGCACCGGGGCATGGACTGGTATATGGAAGTAGTTGGCAAAGATTTGCTAAGTTGCATGTGAAAAATCAAAACTTCCCTTTATTATTCTGAGAGTTAAGCAGCCAATCCATTCATCAATCAATATTTATTTACCTTCTACTATTTGTTGGGATCTGTGCCCTGAGGGTGTAAAGCAGAGGTGATTTTCAAAAAGTTTGATAGCTGGTGAATTATAATGTAGGACACTCAGGACTGAGCTGGAGCAACTGGAGAAGATGACTTGTAAATAGTTGGTTTATGTGCAGTTGTTCATTCTGGCCCCTAGTTGGGTAACTCTAGACCTTGTGCAATTTTCAGTCTGAGAGAGAGCTAGT